ATGGGTGCCAGGAGTCAATCTCTGGCCCTCTGCTAGAGCATTATGCTTTCTTAGCCACTGAACCATCTCTGCAGTCCCTTTTCTAGTTTAGTTTTTTGTTGGTTGTTGTTTTGTTGGTTGTTGTTTGGAGTTTCACAACAATATGCAAGGAGGAATAAGGAAGTTGGTAGTAGAGTGTTTTAACAGCAAGTGACCTGGTAATAAAAGTGACTACATTTTCTGCTCAAGAAATGAAGGACATACACAACCAGAAGTTTAGTCATTTCTTTTTAGAAGGTAGAAAATTATGTAAGAGTGACAGGGAAAGATGCTGGTTTTCTTCAGCTGTAAGGAGGGGTAATTAATTTGGAAAAAAAATAAATGGCTTTCTACTTTCTTCACTAAACATGTAGGCCTCTATTTTTTCTTCTGCTGTCTCTCCTTCTCCCTCCCCTCTCTCTCATTGACCCCAGTAGCCCTTTTACACACTGTGGCATGACAGGTAAAAGTCAATGTCTCTTGTTTTGGCATGTCATCCCTTGGCTTAGCTTACTCTGTATGTTTTTGTTTGCAGGTCTGTGGCTGTCCACTCTATTGGAAAGCCCCCATGTTCAGGGCTGCAGGAGGAGAGAAGACTGGATTTGTGACAGCCCAGTCATTCATTGCCATGTGGAAAAAGTAAGTATGTGAGCTCATTCTGAGACTAGCAAAGAATTGTGTGGTCCTTATAAATGGTATTTATCTGATTAGTTAATTTTCCTTGTGTCTTATAGTTCAATAAGGACAATCTATGATTCATTACCACAAGTTCTTTGCCACAAACCTTTGTCTTTTTTGCCTTTAAACAATGCCAGGAATGGTGACACATTCCTTTAATCTCAGCACTGGGGAGGCAGAGGCAAACAAATCTGTGAATTTGAAGCCAGCCTAGTCTGCATAGCTAGTTCTAGGCTAGCCAGGACTCCCTAGTAAAGACTCTGTCTCAAAATGGGGGAGTAGGAGGCTAGAGAGATGACCTTGGTTTGATTTCCAGCACCCATGTGGTGACTCACAGAAATCTGTACCCCAGTTCCTGGGGATCCATAGCACTTTTCTGACCTCCTCAAGCACCAGGCATGCATGTGATACATATAGACAAAAACCTTATATACATAATTTTTTAAAAAAATTATTTTTGCATCTTTAAGCAGTAAAGCAAATCTGCAGAAATACTTTTTAAGTAGCTACTAACTTGACAGTTTTCTTCTTGGTTTTACCTATAAAAATAGAGACTCAGGATTCGAATCCAATAGCAATGATAAAAGTAAATAAAGAGGGCATAATTTAAGGGCAGAATTATGTGTATCACAAGAAAAACACATCTACAGGCTGGAGAGATGGTTCTGTTGATAAGAGTGCAAATATGAGGACGAGTTCAAATCCCAGCACCCACATAAAAAGCCAGGCATGAATGTGTGAACCTGTAACCCAAATGTTGTGGGTTATAGAAACAGGCAAATCCCAGGAACTTATTGGCCATCTAGCCTTGTGGAAATTTAAACTTTTGGGTTCAGTGACAGGCCCCGTTTTAAAGAAATAAAGTGAAAAGATAAAAGAGGTAGAAAACTAATGTCTTCTAGCCACCATTGCACAAACGCACATGTACCTGCACATCCCTGTGAATGCAGGACACACACACACATACACACACGCACATACACACACACACATACACACATACACACCAGAACAGAATTAAAAAAGAAAAATACAGTTAGAGTCTTAAATAATACAATTAAAATTATATTTGGTTGATTTATCAAAATCACTAAATTCTTTAATCATCACTTTAATCATCACTTTTTCGAGAGCTCCAGTTGAGGAACAAAAGACTAGATAGATTATTTATGAAATATTCTTGACTTTTAACATTCTGATGAAGTATCTCTAATTCAAGCCCAACTTTTTCTTTAAATCCCTTCATTGTATGCTATTAGATTTTGTTTTGTGGCAAGATCTCATGGAGCCCAGGCTGGACTCATTAGGTAGCCAGTGATGACTTAGCTCTTGTGACCTTCCTGCTTCTATTTCCCAAGTTCTGGGATTACACACTGGGTGTGTGCAGTGCTGGGAACTGAACCCAAGATGAGTAATGATTAAGTGAAAGCTGTGAACACACTGAGGGATAAAAATAAATAAGAGATAGTCTAGTAGAAGAGATATTAGACCTAAACACAGGAAATATATCTACTGATGTTTTATATTTAATAATATATTGCAGAGCTGGGCGTTGGTGGAGCACACCTTTAATCCCAGCACTAGGGAGGTAGAGGCAGGCTGATCTCTGTGAGTTCCAGACCAGCCTGGTCTACAAGAGCTAGTTCCAGGACAGCCTCCAAAGCCACAGAGAAACCCTATCTCAAAAAAACCAATAATAATAATAATAATAATAATAATAATAATAATAATAATAATAATAATAATAATAATAATAATAATAATAATAATAATAATAATAATAATAATAATTGGGGCTGACTATAGCAAAGGACAGTTTGTGTCCAGTTTGATTTACATGCTTACTGTGAGAGTCACAGCTAGTTTTTAGTTAAGACTGTCTCAGAGAGGGTGGACATTTTTCCATTGGGTAGAGCATCACAGCAGTGATGGCCATTGCAGCCATGTCCCTTTATTGAAATGAATCACCATCTCTTAGGAAAAACAACTTCTGCAAAAAGTCAATGAACAAGAAGTCATGATGGGCAAGTCACAGAGTTCCATCTCTGCTGTGGTAAAAGAATGCTAGTGAATGAGTGTACATTGTCAGTTACTAAAATGGTTTGGGTGCCCTCTAGTGGGAGTCCCTCTTAAAATGCCGTCGAAAAGCCAGATTCTGTAAGGAAGGAGTTTAAGACTAAGTGAATGATGGTTTGAGTTTCCATCCCTAGGAAAGGGGTTTTAATTTTTCAATTTTTTTGTTCAAACTTCACCCTTCATATAAAACAATTTCAGTTCCAAACACAGTATATTAAAATGTTTAAGCCATAACAGCTCCTGCCTGTAATTCCAGCACTTTTGGAGGAAGATTGCTATGAGTCACTGTCTAGCCTGGGGCTACATAGTAAGATACTATTTTTTTAAGTCCAAAAGTATTCAAGCACAAAGAATAACTGACAGTTGATAATTAAAAAATTAAAACATTTTGGCATATACATATGCTTCCTGATTTGCTCCAGGAATAAGCTCTGTATAGAATTTTTAGAACTAAAATTAAATACAGAAATCATAAGCATAAGGAAATCATTTCCCTCTTGTCAGAATGCCTGTCGTTTGGTTTTAGAATGAGCACCTTAAAATTCTCCCCGACTTCTCTTCCCCTCCTATCTCCATGTTGCTACCCATTTTATATCTACTCAGAAATCTCTTGCCCTTAGAGCCAGGACAATTTTTAGGGGAAGACATAGCTCCACATCCTTCTTTACATTCCTAGAACACCAGTGTTGGGGCAGAACTCCTGTAGAACCAAACCAATACAGTTCTAGTGTTACTCTACTTATTCTTATGGTTCATATCAGTGTATTGTTTATAACTAACAAAACACTTGCCCTTAAAGCATTATGGTCAGTATAGAAGAGCTATGCTATTCTTCAGCTTTTATGGCTTTTTAAAAAGTCTAATTTTTAAAATCTCTTGCCTTATGGAGTTTATCAGCCTAGAACATTAACAAAAAGCTACAGATCATCTTTTATATCTCATGCTTTTGATTTAAAAAATAAAAGAATCATGACATGACTTTTGTCCTATTTTTAGACTATTTTTCATCTGTTGCATTGCTTCTGTGTTTGTTTTTGTGTTGTACTTTTCTTAAAATATATAAAAATGCTCCTCTTTAAAAAAATCTCACCACTAGCTGGGCAGTGGTGGCGCACAACCTTAATCCCAGCACTTGGGAGGCAAAGGCAGGTGGATCTGTATGAGTTCAGAACAGCCTGGTCTACAAGAGCTAGTTCCAGAACAGGCTCCAAAGCTACACAGAGAAACCCTGTCTTGGGGGTTGGGGGGGACACCTCACCACTTTCTCTTATTCCATCGATCTTTTAATCTTATGAGGTGGTTTTCATTAGCACCCAGTGCACTAATCTTTCTTTGTAATGTGTGTTTATTTAACTTCTTGGGCCTTACATATAGTCAATAACAATAAGTGCAATAAGAATAAACATAAATGTCTGACTGTGGCTCAAAACAAACAAAATTAGTTTGGTATTTGTTGGATCACTAACATTTTGAGAATTTTCTGTGTATAAGTCACTGAACCATGTCCTTTGTGTATATAAAAAAGCTATCACTACCTTTAGTTGTCAAAGAAAAAATGACAGTACAGTGACACATTTAAGTATAGTGAGGAGAAAGATAAGAAAGGTGTTCAGTTGTAAAAGGGTTTTTGAAAGAAGTAGTTTTTAGCTAAGTCTTAAAGAAGAACAGAACAGCATGAGAGTGACATAAAGGCCAGATTGCATATGGCTCAGGCCAGCTGGCTGGAGGGGAAGTTTGATTTGGCACAGTAGTAAGATAAGTGGGTAGGCATCCTCTAGCATAGTGAAAGAGAGCCTTAAATGCCCAGTGTAGATATTTAAACTTATACATTTAAATGGTAGATAAGTGGTAGAGTACTGTACATTTTTAGTAAGTGACTTGTATAATCAAAGATTGTTTTAAAACTGTCATGCTGAAAGGTTAAGATGAGCACTGAAGCCTGTTGGGACCCTCCCTAGCAGTCATCCAGGGTCTTTAATGCCCAAGACTTGTAGAGCACAGTAGAAATAGGAAGAAGCAGTTGTCCAGAGGATTTGCAGGAAAATTTCTTCAGGCCTCCAGTCTTCCTGGGAATCTGTATTCCAGACACCTAACGGTCTCAGCTAGAACCTTGGCAATTAAGATGAACTTCACCTTTCTTCTCACTATAAAGCATCATATCCTCTCATTTCTCCCAGATGTCCCCTTTCTCATTGTCCATGCTCAGACTCCTAGAGCCTAATACTTACTGTTTTTGAAAACCACATCTGACCATGTCACTGTCGGAGTTAAAATTCTTCTATGGAGCAGATTCTTGACCTGATACAAAAGAGACCTTCTTAGATTTTTATTTGCACATGCCCTCTCTTCTTACAAGCTCTCAACTTTCTGTTGCCCAAATGCTATATGAATCTCATACTAGGCATCTGCATATGTGTGTGCTTCCCTCCTTATTGTAACACCCTTCTTTCCTAATTCCATCTGCAGGAAATCTCACAGGCCTCCTCTATCCTTTCAGGATAACCTTGTACTCATTACTTAATATCATGGCTGTTCCACAGTAGTATGATTCCACTGGTGGCCAAACAGTAGACGGTACGCTTCTCATAGGGAATAAAACTGTCTTGTTTTCTTTTACCCAAGCTCATTCATTCAAGGCCAGATGTAATACCTGACATACACTTAACATTCCATAAATGACTAATGAAGGAAAATGAGAAAATTTGGAGTTAATTATTGGATAGAGAGAATTAGAAATAGCAAAAAAATTTAAATGACTTCAAGGTTTCACACCCAGATAACTAAGACTGGTATCACCATTTTAACATACATACATACATACATACATACATACATACATACATACATACATACATACATACACACACACACACACACACAAATCCAGGAAAAGGACTAGTTTGAAAAGCTTTTAAATTTTGCTTTTTCAGTGTTTTGACTTTTCTGTCAAAGTATATGGAAATACCCAGAAAAATTGTTGGAGGTGAAGAATTCCAGAAACTTAGAAGACTTAACAGAGGACTGGTTTTCTGAAGCATGTTCTCTAAAATTCGAAGTTTAAAAGCCCCCTGTCAGGCTGGCCATGTATATGTCAACCTAACAAGAATTTCCTGTCTTCTATAGTGTGTCTGCCTGAGTTATTTCCTTCTTGCTAGCTCAGAAACTCTGATTCTAGATGACCTGTGCTAAACTGAATGGGCCTTCCCCACTAAGTATATTTTAGTAGCATATTTTATCTGTATCAGTTCATTTTACTCCATGGTCTCAACTCACAAACTTTCTAGAAAGAAAGTTAGCATCCTGTAACTGGCTGTTCTGGAACCACCTCTGTAGACCAGGCTGGCCTTGAATTTAGAGATTCACTGGCCTGTGCCTCCTGAATGCTGGAATTGTAGGTATGTGCCACCACACCCGGCCAAGCATTTGACTCTGAATCTAGATAACACTCAAATCAAACTAAAATTACCAGCCTGTCAATGTGTAGGCATTGTATGTTCTGAGTATCAGATCTTCCTAACCAGTGTTTCTTTTGTAGGTTGCTAAATAACCATCATGATGATGCTTCTAAATTCATCTGGCTCTTGGCAAAGCCCAGCTGCAGCTATCTGGAACAGGAGGATTTTATTCCTTTACTTCAGGTGATTTTTAGTACCTTTTAGAAATGGAATTTGTTTTTTGGAGTTTGGAAGGCAGGGGTTGTTTGTTCAATTGGCTGGTTGGCTAGTTGGTTCTGGGGTTGTTTGTCTGTTAGTGACAGGGTGTTACAGTACATTTTGGGCTAACATCAAACTCTTAATTCGAAATGCTAAGATTAAGGTACATATCACCGTGACTGGTAAAATTATTTTTTTCCTTTTTATAGTGCAACTATAATACTATGTCAGCAGAGCTACATACATCTAGAGACCAGATTGATAAGAATGGTTTTTTAATTTGTTTTAGTAGTAAAATCTTTTGCTAAGTGAAATCTAAATCAGAACCCATAGTATATAAGATAGACAAACCAGGGCTGTTTCTACTACATTCAGCCTCTTCCTGTCATTCACAGTAATCACTGAAACATCTTATGAAACTAAAATTTGAAAAGATAGCTTGGAAGGGGCTGGAGAGATAGATTAGATGTTAAAAGCACTGGTTGCTCTTCCAGAGGTCCTGAGTTCAATTCCCAGCACACGACATGGTGGCTCACAGCCATCTATAATACCCTCTTCTGGTATTATATACAGACAGAACACTATATACATAATAAATAAATAAATCTTGTTTTTAAAAGATAGCTTGGAAAATACTAATATCAGCCTTAAGGACCTGACAGAAACTGGTAGCTGCTGGAAGAGAGAAAATCAGTTTTCCTAACAGCGTGAGACAAACAAAATAGTTTTTAAATGTTTCCACCACACATGAAAAAATGAGTATTATGACTGCTCAGGATACTGAGAATAAGTGATTGTTGAGTGCTTAGCTCTAAATAGGACATTTATACCACACCATGGGAGGCTTAGAAAACATGATGGAAAAGGGAGCAGAAAGAAGGTAAGAGCTGGAAGATTGGAGGAAGGACTGTGAAATGTTATCATTTCATGATGCAGCCATTGCAAATATGATCTCACAGCAGCTGTAGTTGTTTGCACTAGGCATACACAAGACTGGGCCTTTCACCAGCCAAGGTTTCAGAAGGGGGCTCATGGGACCATAACCTTCTATCTTAATTTGCTGCTTCATTGCTATGATAAAGCACTAACCAAAAGGGTTTATTTGGCTTACATGACCCCATCACAGTCCATTATTGTGGGAAGTCAAAGCAGGAACTATGCAGTTAAGCTGCTTATTGGCTTGCTCGCCATGCTTTGTTCATCCTGCTATCTTCTCTCTTTTTTCTTTCTTTCTTTCTTTCTTTCTTTCTTTTTTGGTTTTTCGAGACAGGGTTTCTCTGTGGCTTTGAAGGCTGTCCTGGCTAGCTCTTGTAGAAGGCTTTGAAGGCTAGCTCTTGTAGACCAGGCTGGTCTCGAACTCACAGAGATTTGCCTGCCTCTGTCTCCCAAGTGCTGGGATTAAAGACGTGCGCCACCAACACCCAGCTTCATCCTGCTATCTTATACCACTCAAGATCACCTGACCAGAGGTGCTACCACCCACAGTGAGTTGAGCCCTCCAACATCAATCATTAGTCTAGAAAATGCTCCACAATCATGCCTACAGGCCAATCAGGAGGCAGCTCCTCAATTGAGACTCCCTCTTCCCACATATGTCTAAATTTGTATAGATAAAAACTAACTAGCACACCTTAGCTGCTGAATTACTGACTATTGATAGATTCTGAAGAAGGGACAGTCATTTCCTTGGTAGTGTAACTAATGATAAGCCTACCAGACTCCTGTAGATAGCTCCAAACCTGTGATCACACACAGAACCATGGTTAAAATAAGTGAATAACAAAGCAAAAGACATGAAAGTGAGAAAGGGACCGGGAGGGAGGAGTGGGGATGACGGATGGGATGACCTTGAACTCATGATCCTTCTGCCTTTACCTCCCAAGTACTGGGATTATAGACATGCACCACCACACATGAGTTATGAGATGCTAGGCATTGAACCCAGGGCTCCATCTATGCTAGGCACTCTACAAACTGAGCTATATAGCACACCCAATTCTTTAAAGTTTTTACTATGAAAAGTATTTTATTGTTTGTGTTTGGGTTTGTTTGGGTTTGTTTGTTTGTTTTGAGGCAGGGTTTCCTTATGTAGCTCTGGCTGTTCTGGAACTCACTATGTAGGCCTCAAACTCAAAGAGATCTGCTTGTCTCTGCCTCCCAAGTGCTAGGATTGAAGGTATGTACCACCATGTCCAGCTGCAAAGTGTTTTTTTGAGAAATAATTTTACTATGTAGCTAAGACTGGCTTCAAACTCACTGTGGAGCTTAGGCTATTCTTGAACTCACAGTCCTTTGGATGAAACTCTAAGTACTAGGATTATAGATGTGTATCACCCTGCCCAGTCTTGCTGTGGGGATTTTGAATATATACAAATGGATTTTTAAAATGTGGTATAGTTAACCCTCATGTACCTGTCAAACTCGCCCCAATACTGATCAAGAATTAAAGAGACAGAGAATAGAAAACCAAATGTACTTTGCTAAATTGAAATCTTTTTCTCTTTGTTTTTTTCTTTATTTTGAAACAGTGTCTCACTATGTAGCCCTGGTTGGCCTGGAACTCCCCAAGTAGAGCAGAATGACCTCAAATTCACAGAGATCTGCCTGCCTCTGTCTCTGAAGTGGTAAAATTAAGGGCTTAAATTTAAATCTTAGTGCTTGACAATATTAACAAAACAGACCAACAACTAATTTGATCAAAAGAAAAAGGGGGTTGCATGCCTTTAATCCCAGCACTTGGGATGCAGAGGCAGGTGAGTTCGAGGCCAGCGTGGTCTACAGAGTGAGTGCCAGGACAGGCTCCCAAGCTACAGAAAAATGCTGTCTCAAAAAAACCAAAGGGGGAAAAGAAGAAAAGGGGATTGTACATACACACAAAAAAAATATTTTTCATCCATAGAGGAAATTAAATCATGACATTTGCAGAAAAATTAAAAGACTTTGAGGTCAGTAAGTGAAATAAGCCAGACTCAGACAAATCTTGGATGTTTTTGTTTTTTTTTTTTCTCATGAGGGGTCCAAATGTGTGTGTGTGTGTACTAACACACATATACATGAAGGAGTGTCATGAAAGTAGAAAAGAGACTGTGAGATGGAAGAAGAGAGCTATGGGATTCAGGGAAAGAGAGGGTAATAAAATATACATGATATAAGGGAAGAATTTTCTGAGAGGGGAGAACCAGCAACAGTGGGACAGGGAGACTAGGGAAAGGCATTGTGGGAAGGAGATAAGTAAGACAAAAGTCTAATGGCTTACATGTATGAAAATGCCTTGAATGAAACCCACTGCTTTGTATACTTGTGGTTCTGCTTCTCCCTTGGGATAGTTAACCACTGGTCCATGAGGATGGGAGGAGCAGAAGCAGGGAACAGGGCTCAGACGGCTGTGGATATGACAGAGATAGCCCTCTGGTATATGACTTCAGTGAATCAGCTCAACTTTATTCCAGAGTATAGGAAATCTATAGGAATGGGAAACCAGGGGACAAACCTTAATTTGCGTTAAGTGGCACACTCCTGTCATGTAGCTGGATTAGTGGAAGCACAGCCCTGTCAAAATGGCTAGAGCATTTGCCTAATTACCATGTGGTCAGCAGGGGAAGACATTTGCAGGGAACTGTGTCAAGGATCAACCCTGACATAAGT